CGCTTAAACTCTTTACCTGTTCCTATTATAGAAAGAGCATCAACAACATAATTCTTCTCCATGTTTGTATGCATAAATCTCACATTCTTTAATTTCTCAATCCTAGTAACAATCATAGTTGTCTTCTATATTTTATTTTCATAACATCATTTTCATTGACACCCAAGCCACAATCAGTTGGGAATTGCTCTTAATTTCTAGCTCGATTAAGTTAATGTTAGTGGTTTCAGTACAAATCATATTGGCTCTTTTGACTGCGCAATAACTCTTCGATGTCTGAATCCAAAACACCTACATTCTCATAAAAGATACATTTGATGTAACCTTCGTGATCCCTTAGGCATTCGTCAATAATCGGGTTAGACTAGGTTTTCCCAATACCAGGGCATCCTCATTGAACTTGAGCTAACCATTTTAAAGAGGAATCAATAATTAGATTTGTGCAACCCATTATTTTCATAATGGTTATTAATGCATTTCTATTGATATGAATAACTCATTAATCTAATTGTTCTCGAACTCCTTTTGCATAAACTTGAGTCACCAAGTAAGTTTAATTTTAATAAGACCACAAATCTCTCAGCCATGGTAAAAGTTTTATATTGGAAGACAATCTCACTTATTATCAACCGAATTGACCAACTAAATAGTAATATAGAGACGAACATTAATTAACTTTCTTTGTCTTTAATCTCCACTTATACTTGGCCAAACATTATAGAGTTGGGTATATTCTCATACTGGACCCAATTATTGTTATACCAATTGAAGTAATAACACCAAAATTTCTATGACCACTCACGACTAAGGAAAAGATGATTGATTGACTCATCTTCAAGCCAATATAATGGGTAAATGTTGCTTAGATCCAATATGTATTAGCATTGGTGAAGGGACCCAACCATAACTAAAATATCCTTCAATAATCGCCACTAAAGACCTTAACATTAGGTAAGAACTTTAGCATGTCAAACTCTACTCTCTAGCTTCTTTCCATATACAAGTGATTGGACATCGCTTTTTTGTAAGATTTAACAAAAAAAAAACATGTTTATCCTATTTTTATATCAATTTACCTGAAGTGTTTGCAAAGATATACCATTTAGAATGGTCATCACATTATTCCATTATTCATTTTTCTGATCGAACATTTTTTGCAAAAATCAATATTGTAAGACTAGGAGTCCCTCTTCCTAAGAGATCAAATCACGAACATTATCATCCTTTTTTTAGCAAAACGAAAAAGTTTAGGAACTATCTATTTGAGAGGTATATTAGTAAGTCGCATGTCATACAAAAATTTGACAACTCTATCATTACCAATAGCCCTAGCTAATCGTTATAAGGGTCCATATCCAAGGTTTTCATTTTGGAAGACATTTTTTATTTTGCCTTTCTACACACTGGAAGCACCAAAAGGTATATGTGAGGGCGTGAAAACATGATTATGTTGGTCAACGCTTCACTCTTGTTACCATTATGCCAAACCCATTTGAAAAGGAGAATATTAGTCATGTCTCTTAGGGTGACATTGAAATTTTGGCCGAAACTAATATTGAAATTTCGTGAGTGACATATAAAAGGTTAAGAGAGAAGACAAGATTGCCTTAATTATAGTGATATGGACCACACTAGAGAGAAAACGATTTTCCAATCCAACAAACTTTTCTTCAACTTCACAACACAAGATTCCAAGTTTGGCACAAGTAGGGATTGACACCTAAAGGAGTGTTTCGTTTTTTATATCTAATCTTACTCCTCTACTTAATCATCAGCTCCTTATTAACCCAAATCACTAACAAATCATGCTTCTTAAATTTAATCTCATATCATACATGACTTTACAGCATCTTAAGATTCTTTTAAGTGAAATCACCTCTTTGAAAATGGGCATAAAAAAGCAAAGAGTATCATCAACTAATTGTAAAAGATTAATGATCAAAGTGCCATGACCTAGGCTGACTTCCTAAATTAAATAAATACTATTTGTTTTCTTTATCAAACTTGATAAACTCCCCTCACTATATTGTAAAAGAACAGGGATAAAGATTGCCTTAACGAAGACCTTTCTTAATTTTAAAATTGCTTGAAGGAGCACCATTAACCAAAATAAAGGTAAATGCACTTTGAACCCAACTCTCCTTTTCGTACTGAAACCCATTCGACCAATCATGGTATCTAAAAATTCTCAATTGCAAATATTAACAAAATTCTATATTTACTAAATTTGTTTGTGTATTTTGTCCTCAAGGTTTAGGCAAAGATATAAGGTAGGAACTTTATGTTTGGGTAGCCTTATTATCAACACTCTTATGTTGGCAATAGATTAACTTTTTGTCACTCTTTATATTACTTAGCTCATCAATTTATACTAGCATATATTTCTACGACTGCTTGCTTTTTTATTGATGCTTTACGCAGCTTATGTATGAGCCTTGGGGGACACTAGTTTTAGCTACTTCATCTTCGATGTGATAACTTGATTCTGTTGTGTATCTTATCATATCATAAACTATTTTGTATTAGTTTTATCATCCCATTTTGATTAATCAATATTGTAGATTGATGTAATTTTCTACTATAACTTATGTCGTGGTGTCTTGCTATTTTCTTAAAAAAAATTTATCTTTCAAGAAAATTATTTATAAATTATTTATGTTCTAACATATTCCTTTATGTATAACTTGATAAGATTTGACCATTAGATATTTAATTCTAATATCACATAATATTAAGTAACTAATTGAACTAATTATCTTAAAAATTTAAATTTACAGAAAACATTCAAAGTATTATTTGTATTAAAATAAAAAGATAATAAAATAATGTGGATTTACATATCTATACTTAAACACTTCTAATGTAGTGATCAAGAGCAAAACAGTATTGATTATAAGTACCATATTAGTACTGATTATAAGTATCATATTACTTTTCAAATTTACAAAAATTTTAACTTTAGTGTATATATATATATATATATATATATATGTTTTTACTATCAATTATTACAAAAGATTAAAAACAAAACAAATGTAACCAAAACGTGAGGCGGTTGACTTACAATAAAGGGTTAAAAAATATACATCCGAAGGACAATTTCGTAATTTCGTAGTGATAAGATCCCATCCAGGGCTTTATATATCGATAGCTCCATCACCCTCAACGCCATTTTACTGTGAGTTCATGTGCTCCAATTTTTTCCTCATCTCTCCAATATTTTAATTCTAAGATTCAGTTTCAACAATATATTATAATTTCTTAGTTTTTCTCCCTTCCTCCTTTTCAACAAAATAGTACTGTAATGGAAGATCAAGCCTCGGCCGCTGATTCCAACAGCAGCTCAAGCCATGGCTCGGAAAGAAGCGAACCAGTGAGGTCAAGGTGGACTCCAAAGCCCGAACAAATTCTCATACTTGAGTCCATCTTCAACAGTGGCATGGTGAACCCACCAAAAGATGAAACTGTGAGAATAAGAAAGTTGCTGGAGAAATTTGGCGCCGTTGGTGATGCAAATGTCTTCTACTGGTTCCAAAACCGCCGTTCAAGATCTCGCCGCCGGCAACGCCAATTGCAGGCCAGCCTTGCCGGAGATAACCAACAAAAGAACCTTCTGCAGCAGCAGCAGCAACAGCAGCAGCAGGCACAAACCAGTAGTGGTGCAATTCAGTACCATGAAAATAGTGGTTGTGGTGTTGGGTTTGGTTCTTCTTCTTTTGGGTCATCTTCTTCTTCTTCAAGTCCTTTTCTGGTCAGTGGTTCTTCGTCGTGTGGGGTTATAGGTGATGATGGTGTGGAGAGTCTTTTCTCAATGTCAGGTCAAATGGGTTTTCAAGAAATTGAACAAAGCGTTTGCCCATCTGACTCTTCAAATTTGCACTATCAACCTGGTAAAAATGCATGGCTATTGATTAAAACACTTTTGAGAGTTTTTTGTTTTTTTAAATTTTGATTTAATAGTTTTTATTTGAATCCTCTTAAATCAGACCCAATTCTTCTTATTTCTGTAAGTTTTATTTCTTGCTTTTTTTGGTTAATTAATCTCCAATTTCTTTTATTAAAAAAAAAAAATCTCCATTTCTAATTTATGTCTTCTAAAGTTTCTTTACTCTTTCACCCAAAAGATATCCATCTACTGCTGTACATCAAATTTTAAGAATCTTTATAACTAGGAGGCTATTCTAGTGAAACTACGGTAGAATAAAGTACTAAACTTTAAGACTTTCTTTGTGATGATGTGACAATTTTTGCTACTACTTCATTTGATTAATTAAATTACACTGTTGTACATGGATATAATACGTTTTGCACTTTCAAACATATGTTTTAGCTGGAAAAATTCATTATATCAAGAGCTATCATGGATTGGAAGGAGGAGGTATACATACGTTTGCATAAATTTGTTGTATTTGTTCAAATATATATGTATTTACTATATATATATATATATATATATTCTATAGTTGCTTGTGTTTCCTTTCATATATACATACATGTATGGACTATCTTTATATATATTCTTTAGTTAATTAAAAGTAAAAGCTAATTAAAAGAAAACATGGTGTAAAAAGAAAAAAAGTTGAAATGATTTTCCTGGTAACTGGGCTTTTTGAGCTGATTTTCAGGATTCATCACAGTGTTCATCAATGGAGTTCCAACAGAGGTACCCAGAGGGCCACTTGACATGAAAGCAATATTTGGTGAAGGCTTTGTTTTGGTTCATTCCTCTGGTGTCCCACTGCCTGTAAATGAATTTGGCTTCTTATTTCACAGCTTGCAGCATGGTGAAAACTATTTCCTGGTAATTAACCATCCTCCTAAATCAATTCACAGATACACACACACACACACACACACACACATAGATTCTTCATTTTCTTTACCAACTCCTTTTAAACCTTTTGAAAATTATGAGGTCCCATATATATACACATATACACCTTATTGCCTTATCAATGAATATTATTAGGTAAATTACAGCTTAAAAATTTGTGGGGTTTTTTTTCACATTCACTTCTTTTATATATATGCAAATTTCATACTTTGGTTTTTTTTTTTTTTTTTTTTTGATGATTTCACATAAAAATATTACTTCTTTTAGGTTATCTTTTAAAAATATTTTGAAATTTTTTGTAATTTTGATTTGTTTTTATAAGAAAAAACAAAACATTTACAAATGTTTGAAGATTTGGTGCACACACACACATATAAACACAGACACTTATCTTCTTCTTCTTCTTCAACTCGCTTAATGATCTGGCACATGAGATCCCATATATACATCTCGTTGCCTTATTAATTAAATATTTCCTAATGGATCAAAGAATATAATGAATCCAAATTTTCCATTTTAAAACTTTGTCACAGAGAAAAAGGTTCTTTACTTAAATTTACCAGCTTGGGAGAGTATAAATATTTAAGACGAACTCTTTCTTCTTTACTTATCAAAAGTTAATACATATATAGATAGATAGGAGCAGAAAGAATAATCTTGGAGTTGTTACATTTACACTTCTCCCTAATTATCTATTTCTACAGTAATAAAGCATTCAAGTACTGTTAACCTATCTTTGATTTACTAATCTAAATCTATATAGAGAAACAATGTGATCATTTTTATTGTATTTTAATGAGTTCAAGATTCCAAAACATTGAAAGCCACATATATAGATTACAGTACTTCAGGTCCGTCATTTAACATATTATATAATAATATATAAGTATCATTCTATTAGGGTTTATAAGCACACAGTTTAATTTTAAAGTATATCAAGGCTTTGTTAATTACTGGACTGATGGGCGAGATTTTTAGTTCCTGGAATCCACCAAAACCAGTCATAATAATTATTATTGACTAGTAAATTTTGGTTACAGGTTACGAGACCATCATGAACTCACAGCAAGTAAAGGTTCAACAGATGGGAGCTTCTTCTATGTGGCTCCACCAAACAAGATCTCGTACTTTGTGATCATGCAAGACAAGTTTATTACCTATATTTCGTTTTTTTATATATTTATTATTAGTTTTTGTTTAATGGTCATTTACTTCGATCTTGTTTTTTAATATTTTATATATAATTTACAGAAACTACTCTCTAAAGAGAGAAGATCCATGTGTTCGACAGCTTAGAGAAAGCAAAAGATACGTTGTTTTATATATATATATATATAAATGGAATGAAGTTTGTTTAATCCAAGTTAACTGCTGCAAATTTCTGCATTTGTGATGATCAGTAGATGCAGCAGTTAAGATCTTGATCTTCTTGTAGTCTTATTCAGTCTTACATTTGAGTCTGAAGTACTTTCCCTTCTGATCAGCAAGTACTTTGCCATCTGTGTGGATTATATATATTCGTTTTTTCAACTAGAATATAGAATTTATTAATGTTAAAGATCAAGGATTTGGAGATTTTATATATGTTTTATTGATCGAATCAGGTATATGTGCATATATAAGAGATGTATAAAGATAAAGTTTATACAAATGATGAATAGAAGAGAGACACAGTCTCGAATTGATGAGGATGACCAAAAGTATGAAGCTGGGCAGACAGCTGTGCTGATGATGCTGGTGACCTGAGAGTCTTATAAGAAGAAAAATTATCCTGAAGATTTTAACCTTCCAGAGTTAAGTTGTGGATCATTTTGGTCGTAACCCAAGCTTATTTTTTTATGAAAAAACAAGAAAAGAAAAACTATCATTTGGACGGGGTTTTGGTGAATCGGCTACTTGATCAACATTAGAATAAACCGAAGAAGCTTTTTGTCGAGATTCGTTCATGAACAAAGCAAAAATCATCTTGTGTGTGCTTTCTACTCGAAAACAAGATTAGAAAAAATATAAATATATATATTGCACGAATGGTGTCACGTCATAATGTAAGCGGAAGAACCAAGATTTGAAGCTTATGCAATTAGAAAACCAACTACATATGAGTTAAAATATGGCATTACCGATAAATTTCTGCTCATGTTTAGTAAACTATGGAACAACTATGAAATCTAAGATACAAAAGATGAGACAAGGTAAATTTCAGGTTTATGAGAACTTTTTTAAAATTTTTTTAGATTTATATATAATTAAGCAAAAACAATGGACAAACAAAAAAAAGAGAGGAATTTTTTTGAGAAAATAGAACCTCTTCAATAAAATAAAATATAAAAAAATAGAGTTTTTTAAAACATGAAAAAAGTTATTCTTTTTTGTCATTTATATGAATAAATTTTTATAATTATTAAAAATTTAATATGAACCTTCGCCTCGAATTAGATAAAGAAAGAAGAGTTGGACCCTTTTGAATTCTTATACTTTCATGGTTACAACTCAATTCATATCTTAAGTGGACTTCATTATGAGTTAAACCTATAATAACATTGGAAAATAAACAATGAGAGAAGAAGAAAAGAGAAAAGAAGTTTAAATTTCATTTTGAATAAAGTTCATCTTTACATTTCAAAAAGAACATTTGTAAGACTTGAAAGTTAAAGATTCAAGTCTCAAGGACTAATATAAAGGTCCTTATTTCTTGAATATTAAGAACTCCCTAACAAAGTTTAAGATGTGATTAATTATGATTTATCTGAAACATCATATTCCCTAATTAAATTTAATAAAATGAGATGGTAAAGTAAAACCTAAGAAGACTTAGAATAAAATGAGCAGAATTTCTATAAACTAAACTAATTAAGCATATACAAGTGAAGTTTCAATAAGTGGTTAACTACTTAGAATGATTGGCTAACATAATGCTAATAACCAAGAAGGATCGAAAAGTATGTATATATATATTAAAAAGACTTGAACAAGGTGATGATTTTTTCTACCATCCCATGGATATTTACTTTTCAACATTGTTGTGTTAAGTGCAATATACTCATTTAGGAATGGTTTCTATGGATATAAAAACTAAATATCGATGATTAAAGCATCAATAATATAAAAAGCTCCAACACATTGACTAAAACAAAAAATCACCTTGGTATATGCAGTAATATTTAAGATACTAAAAAAGAGTTTGTTAATTAGATGATATAAAAATTGTCAAAAAACTTTCAAAAATGTAAAAGAGTATCTAATGGACTTGTTTGTCTTGAGACTCTAATGATAATGCAATATTACAATTATACTTAGTAATTAAAAATGAGGTAATTGTAAGCATAATGCTAGTTCAAAAAGATAATGACGTTGTAGAGTACCTTATCCATTACCTTACTAAAATGTTCTTTCCCCATGAAATAAATACAACTAGATGAAGAAAACATGTCTGGCAATGATCTAGGCCATAAAGATACTCAGACTTGACATTTAATCGTATAAATGTTGAGTGATTTACATAATTGATCCCATAAAATCTTTGTATGATGCACCCTTCATGGCTAAAATATTATCACGACATTTTTTGTAAAAGATAATTTTATTGATTAAGAGCAATATTAGTGCGAAAACTTATATTATTAACATGGTATAAAATAAGGTATGTTATAAAGAAGTTAATTAGAAGTTGAGCTTTGTCAACACTAAATCTACACAATAATATATAACATTATAAATTTGTATTAAAAAGAATACTAGGGACAATTGTCATACTAGAAAAGAAACTTTACTTTGATGGAACAGGCAGTAGTTAATGGGTTAGCATAATGGTATCCATTGTAAGTTATACCCGAGAATTTAACTCACTAATAAAGAGGTTAAATTTAAAGACTATCAATAACGTCACAACATACACGACATGCATATTTGGACTGAAGATCTTAATAGCCTTAGGAGAGATAAAGGTTGATGTATGGAGCAACTCCATACTAGTTACTCATCTAAGATAGAGGAGAATGAAAGGTTAAAGAAGACGAATTGAAGCCTTATCAAGAATATATAATGACTCTTACACAATACTTTAGAAGGTGAATCTTGAATCAAATTCTAATAAAGTGAAATCAAATGGTAGACCTTTTTACAACATTGTCTTTAGTATGAGAAAACTCTAATATGACTAGAGTGAGATCTATTCTCAAATAAGAGTTCATATGCAATGCTACAAAATGCCACAAGTGGTAAAAATCTAATAAGATGCAAAGCCATGGTGCTATGACATCCTTAAATATTTATAATCAAAATAATGCCTAGTGAAGATTATAGGAAGAGATCATAAGTTGACAAATTAAAGATTGACACTTTATGCAACACGACAAAATAGACAATTATATAATAGAATTCTAAATTGTATACAATTAAAGTATGTGACCATAACAAGAACCAGAAGAGTCATAGAAGAGGCACATGGATGAAAATGTTCTAGATAAAAAGATAATGCCCCGTGGATATTTTTCACCCATCATGAAGCATGATTATATGCAACATTTGTGAAGATGTCATGAATGTTAGATACATTACAACCTAAAGTATTTGCCACCTTCCAAATTTCAAGAACTCATACAACCTTAGCCCCCTAACATTAGGGTATTACTATAATTGGAGAAATTAAATATGCATCGTGTGAGTAGAAATATATTATGGTTGTAATTAATTATATCAAGAAAGAGGTAGAAGCACTTTGATTTAAATTTAATGTATCTAAACCTTGCTCTTTTATTTGGTAACAAAGACTATCAATCCCTTCCTAAAGAGCCATCTCTTGCATACCCAAAACATTTTTAGAAAAACATATTCCAATAGAAATAAAATCCGTGCATACATGTATATAAGGCACAATGATCAAGTTAGAACTAATATTAAGAAACATGAGAATCATGTGCTCATGACCTGTCTGTTATATATAGTCCTTCACAAAAGACTGAAGAGATTCATACCATTTATAGATTGAAGTGTTATTTCTAATATCATTATATAAAGATTCCTCAAGCTATAGTAAAAAAAGAAAAAAAAATGCACATAGAAAACCAATTCCACTAGTTACTACACATGCTAGGTATATTATTTCTTGTTAGATCTAGGATTAACATGATACATCATACTCAAGCTCATTTGAATTATGAGTCAATTTAAAATTAACTTAATTAACTAGAGTAGCTTGGATTTATACTTATTACACTCAAATAAAAATGTGTTTTTTTAAAACCCATTATTAGCGTAATACAATAGCACATACAAGAACC